AATTCAGACTCTGTGGTTACACAGGGTTACTACACAGGATTTAGCAGCTTCTACATTAAAGGATCAAAGGTCTTGGAATATGATATGCTGGAGGTGAAGAAGCTAGGATCACAACCAAAAAATCACCTGCCCAGCAAAATTGAGTACAATCTTTCAGGGGAAAAAACATCCACATTTAATGAAACAGAGGCCTTTTTTTTTTTTCTTCAATTTTTAGGCAATTGGGGTTAACTGACTTGCCCAGGGTCACACAGCTAGTAAGTGTCAAGTGTCTGACATCGGATTTGAACTCAGGTCCTCCTGACTCCAAGGCCGTTGCTGTATCCACTGCGCCACCTAGCTGCCCCCCAGAGGCCTTTTTTAAGGTGTTATTTTCTTCAACATTTTTTTTTTGTCCCCTTTACCTAGCTTTTGACTCTTTTTTCTTGATTTTCTTGCATTACTCTCAGTTCTTTCCCCAAATTTTCTTTTAGCTGTCTTACTTAATTTTTCAAATTCTTTTTGAGCTCTTCCAAGATTTCTTTTTTGTTCTGAGACTTATTAGTGTTTTTCTTGGAGGTTTTCTGTGTAGCAGCTTTGATTTTGTTAAATTTTTCTGAATTTTTGTTTTTATCTTTCCTGTCACCATAGACACTTTCTATGGTCAGTTTACTTTTGTTGTTGTTTGCTCATTTTTCCAGCCTATTTTCTGCCTTTTAACTTTATGTTAAAGTTGGGTTCTGCTCCTGGAGTGGAGGGGGTACATTCCTAAGCTTTAGGGCTTTTTTTTTTTCGAGGCTGTTTCCAGATCTAGTTCTGAGTTTCTGTAAGTTTTCAGTTCTCCCAAAGTGGTATGCTCCAATGAGAGGTATCATCACTGCTCTCCTGGCTGCCTCGGAACGATGTCCAGGGTCCTCATTCCTGCTAGTACTTCTTTTTACCCTGGGACCTGTACCCAGGTACAGGTAATGCAACAGAGCCATCCTCTCACTGCCAGCAACTGTCCCCTGTAATCTTCAGACTAGTTGTCCACCCACCTTACTGTCTGTGGGCTGAAAGGTCTGGAAGCTGCTGATGGCTTGTCAGGTCGTGGCCTGTGCTTCACTCTCACCACAGTGAGACAGAATATTCTTGCTGACCTTCTTAAGTTTTCTTGGCTGGAAAATTGTTCTACCCCATCTTTTTATTGGTTGTGCTGCTTCAGAATTAATTTTGAGGCATTATTTTGATGTCGTTTGGAGAGGAATTTGGGAGGGCTCAGGCAAGGCCCTGTCTTTACTCTGCCATCTTCAATAACAGTCTTTAACGTGAAAGCTCATAGTACCCATCCCTTTTCCCTATATTGACACCCCCTACCTTCTTGAGCCTTTACTGGTGATTTCTGGATGGTAATTGAGAGCAGAGTACTTTCATCTTTCACAGGGGAAAGCCAGGAAAACCATATGGAGAGGAGCCTAACAATCCCAGCTATTGCAAGGGACTAGGTTGTTCCATGATAGAGGGTAGAGTAGGTGGAACAGCCTCTTTTCTTTTGTGTTGGCAGCTTCTGCTTATTTTGAGCTTTTATTTTGTTCTTTGGATTGAAGACTTTAGCTAGCTTTACAGATAACTTCTTTAGGTAATCTGATGCCAAAATTGTTTTCTTTGTGACAAAATCCATTGATGTTCCCATCTTTTCTAATTCAGTTTATTTTGTTCTCTTGCTAGACTTTTTCGATAATGGTTCGTAGCTCTAAATGTAGGTCTTCATATTCAGTTCAATCAAGTATACATTAGACTCTAATCCAACAAAGTGAAGTTTTGCTAGGGCCTGTGTAGAAATGCATAAATAGGCTTAAATCTTTAATCTTCTAAATTCAGCCCATTCTACTTTTGAATAGTTCAAGCTGCTGTTTCATTAAGCATTCATCTGCTTTTCTGAAAGATTATCCATTGCTCCAACATCTGTCTTCCGGGGCCACGCAGAATAAGTATTTTCTTTATTCTTAAAATTGTGAACTTAATTGTCAAGAAAGTTACATTTTCAGTTAAAAAGAACAGGAAAAGAGATTGTATGAGAAACTGAATATGTCTTGCATCAGTTTTTTTAAAAAATTATTTCTTCTTCTTCTTTTTTTTTTTTGCACGAGGCAATTGGGGTCAAGTGACTTGCCCAGGGTCACACAGCTAGTAAGTGTCAGATGTCTAGTCTGAGTCTAGATTTGAACTGAGGTCTTCCTGACTCTAGGGCCAATGGTCTATCTACTGCGCCACCTAGCTGGCCTGCCCCCCCCTTTTAAAAATAGTTAACAGCTTTATTTATGTCAGTTCTTTTTTATTTTTCTTTTTTAACTAGGCAGTGTTAAGATTGGTAGGCTCATCTGCTCAGTTTTCCATGGGTTCAATTATCATCTCTATGCAAATGATTCCTTTTTTTTCTTTTCTTTCTTTTTTTTTTGCTTTTTGATCAGGCAGTCAGCGTTAATTAAGTCTGACAAGGTATTAACAGTATTGCTTTATTTATGTCTCCTTCTGCATTTCTTTTTTCCCATCCATTTAAGAAATTATTTTTATTGGTGCTCTTGTATTTTCATGTCTATCATAACCCTCTAGCCTTCCTCTCTCCTGCCACTTGAGTAGATGCCCTCTCTTGTGAAATGTGTATAGTAAAGCAAAGACATCAATACAGTACCATGTGTGAAAACTTATATCTGATTCTGCATCTCTAGCCTATCACTTCTTTCCCAAGAGTTGAGAGTTGTGTTTCATTATAAGTCTTTTGAAGTTATGATTGGTCAGTGTTTTCATCAGAGTTCTTTTGACCTCTCAAAGTTGTTTCCCCTCATTTTATTATTATCATTATCACACAAGTTGTTTTCTAGTTTCTACTCATTTCATTCTTCATCAGTTCATGTGTTTTTATAAATCTCTTAACATATTCTTCTTCTGATCCAATAAGTTCTATTACATTCATATACTCTATTTTGTGTGGCCATTCTTCAGCATCTATTTTAGCTCTTTGCTACAACGAAAATGCTGCTATAATTTTTGCTTATATAAGTCATTTCACTCTGACCTTGATATCCTGGGGATATATGTTCATTATTTCTGAGTTGAAGAATATGTACATTTTGGTGCCTTTTTGGATATAGTCTAATCCATGGCTTCTTAGTCTTTGATGTCATGAACTCCCTTTGGTAGTTTGGTGAAGTCTCTTTCTCAGGTAGTGATTTTTAAGTGCAAATAAAATGAATAGGATTATAAAGGAAGCTAATTATATTGAAATACAGTTAAATATTTTTAAAAGTTCATGAACCCCAGGAAAAAAATCTTTAGTCTAACTCCTTTTCTATATGATATCTCTGCAAGTATTTTAAGATAGCTTTCCTTTCTTACCTTTTCTTCCCAAAGTCTTGCATTCTCCAAACTAAAGGTGACATGACAAATTAATGTGACATGACCTCAAGACCCTTCACTATCCTGGCTGCCAACTTCTGGATGCTTTCCTATTATTAATGTTCTTAAAATGTGGTTTACTTATAATTGAACATAGTTCTTTTGATGTGGTCTGACTATGGTAGATAGCAGGATTATCACCTACATTGTTGTGAATACAGTGCCTTTTAGTACAACCTTAGATTGCATTAGCCTTTTTTGGCTTCTCTTTTTGACTATTGATTTATTGACCTTGCTACTGAAACTCCCAGATCTTTTTTCAGACCATCTGTTATCTAGCAATACATCTTCTACTTTGTATTTACAAAGTTGATTCTTTGAACCCAAAAATAAGACTTTACATTTATCCCTATTAAAATTCATCTAATTAGATATAGCTTATAGATATAGTTTTGCCTTTTGAGATCTATTTACATGCTACTTTGTCATCCAGTTTGTTATATCTCTCTCTTAGTTTCACGTTGTATAAATTTGATAAAATGACATCTATAACTTTATGTAGGTTATTTAAAAAATGTAAAATAGTACAAGGTGAAGGATAAGTTGTTTCTTGGGCACTCCACTAGACATCTTCCAAGTTCCCATCAGGCCTGTCTATCCAATCAGTTCCAAGTTCGCCTAATTATACTATCTTCTAGCTCATACCTTGGCATGAGCAGAAATAATAAAAGATGCTTTGCTTAAATCTACCTCCTTAGCTTCATGAGCTGTCAGTTTATTACACCATGATTTTGTCAATGTGAAGACTAGATAATACACTTAGTTGAGGATTACATCAACCAATGCAGATTGCAACCTGTCTGTGACTTAGTAGATAAACCCTTAGGAGTTGCCTGGGGTACATAGAAGTTAAGTGACGTGCTCAAGGGCACACAGCCAGAAAGTGTCAGAAGTGAGATTTGAACCTAAAAGGCTGCCTCTATTATCTGTCTAGTAACTCCATCAAAAAAGTAAATGAAGTTTTTCTAGCTTGACTTGTTCTTGATAAAACCATTTTCTTTTTATGATCACTGCTCTTGTTTCTAGATGTTTGTATTTCCTAACTATACCCTTAATAAATTCTAAAATTTGTCCAAGTTAGTTTTGCTGGTCAGTAGGCTTGTATTCCCACCCTTAAAACACACACACACACACACACACACACACACACACACACACACACACACACACACACACACACACACACACACACACACACACACCCCCACCCACCCATATACCATTGTCCTAAGGGTTTCAGAAAACTGTCTGTTCTTAGCATTCTGTAAACAAACTTCTTCATGTCAAATTTAGAACATGATAATTATATGTTTATCACTTAATTTTAGATTAATTTTGTGCTTCATACCCACAGTAACAAGTATAAGCCAAGGCACAGTCTAAGTTATTCCTATCCTTAGTAAAATTCAGATCCTTAGTATTGAATTCTTGGAAGGGCTTGTAAATTTTTTAACTGGAAAAGTCCCTTATCCTTCAAAAGGAATGATAAATAACAACAACAACAAAAAACAGGTTTTAAGTAATGATTGACTTTTGTGAATCCAAAACACCTAAGGTTAAATTCATGTTGCTCTATTTGTTGTTAGTTTTCAGGAAACAGATAATGCTTGGCATGGTGGATGTCTGGCTTTAGCAGAATTAGGCAGAAGAGGATTGTTACTACCTTCTCGACTTACAGATGGTAAGTAATGAAAGCTTATTAACATCATTTTATGGTACATTGGCATTCTAATCTGTCTTTTCTTTTAATCTTCTGCTGACTGCTATGAATTTGCCTATTTCTAATCTCTATTGTGTTGTTAAACCTTGATTGGGTTTCATTAATATGGTAACACAAATGTATGGATATATCAGATGATTTTTTTTTTGGAATGTCAAGTGTGTTACTTAATCACCTTTTTAATTTGAAGGAAAACTATGTTATCAAAGTTGTCTTGGAGGGGGAGTTTTCAGGAATAGCTAGAAGATTTGTCAATACCTCTTGATTTTTATTAGCACAGACATTTCCCAATGTAGTCCTTCCCCCTGAACCTTCCTTTTCTTGTAACCGTGAAAAAAGGTAAGCAAAACCAAGGTGAACATATTTGACAAGGGTATGTAAGTAAATACTCTACACTGGAGAGAAGTTTTAATTTCCTCTACACTGATCTGGTGGCTCTGTTTCAGGTACAGATACCATAGAAAAACCTGTGCTGAACAAAAAAGGGTCATATTTCTTTAGTAAACTCCATGTGACCTATGCATCAATGAATGGGAGAACTTCCTAAGAGAAGATGGGGCACCCACCTATAGCTTCAGAGGGTCCGCTGACCACAGTTTGCCTTTCCTGGGAGAGAGAGAGTGAAAAGAGTGACCTGCTGAAGCACAGCAGAGAGGCAATATGTACCATGGAAAATTTCTACCTTCTATATTACTTCTTCTGATAATGAAATCTGTGCCAATGGAACCTGTTGTTTAGGTGCATTATCTTTGTTAGTACAGGTGTCATTATTTTAATAGGGAAAATATTGTATCTAGGATTGCAAATTTCAAGGATAGATAGTTTCAGGTTTTGCCATGGAACTAAACTGTATTCAATAGGGCCGTGTAGAAACTTCTTTTTTTTTTTTTTCTTAGGAAAGATTTTTTTTTTCCTCTGGCATGTGATATAGAATTAGATATGTTTATACTTAAGTTGATATTTTGTTGATTTTATCAATGTGGGAACTCTCACAGGTGATGAAGATTGTGGCCTGATCACAGTTTTTCATTGGAGCTTTTTCTTTCTATTTGTCCTATGTAGGTAGTCTGCTCAACTTATTAAGAGGCCTATCTTAAGTTCTTAAAGCATTGTGTGGGTATCATTGTAATATTTGGACTATGTGTCTGTTATTTCTTACTCTTACCTTATGATTCATCTTTTCTAATTCTGTGTTTACTGGATGATATGTCTTATAACACTTCTTGCATGTAACTCATCATTGATATAATGCTGTAGTCTGTTTACATTGCTCTTTCCATGACATGCTTGGTAAGCTATCTGCTCAGTTCTACATGGGTTCAATTATCATCTGTATGCAAATGATTCCTTTTTTTTTTTCTTTTTGCTTTTTGGTGAGGCAGTTGAGGTTAAGTGACTTGCCTAGGGTCACAGAACTCGTTAAGTATCAAGTATTTGAGGCCACATTTGAACTCAGGTCCTTCTAACTCCAAGGCCAGAGCTCTATCCATTGTGCCACCTAGCTGCCCCAATGCAAATGATTCCTGAATCTATATATCCATCTCTCATCTTTCCCTTTAAATCAATCCCTGTATACCACCAACTGGTTGTTATACCTCTTTACTAAACTAAGATTCCTTGAACCTTTCTGGATTCCCCTTTTCAAATCTTTTAGTATTTTTGTATCTCTCCTCTGAACCCTTTCCAGGTTTTCTGTTTTCCTCTTAAATGTTAGACTACATATTATATTCTATTTAGATGGGGTGTATGGGGTATTCAAGGAGGACTAGCACCTCTGGTGTGAGGCCTTGCTGGGCCCTTTTCAGGGCTGCTCATTTACCTTTGGGGTCCACCATTCACTCAACTCTCGCCAAGAAGCTGTAGCATGCGCAGTGGCTACACCCTGGTAAACTGTCTCAGCTGACAGGCTAACCGAAGTTGAGAATAACTGACAGGCCTCAGACCCATTGATGAGCTGGGAGGATGTCTACCCCCAGCATCTGAAGACTTTCCTTGGCAGAATAGGTAGATGAGAATAATTTGTCCCAAAAGCCATGAAAGCAGCTGAATCAGCCTCTGTGGTGTGCTTAGAGACCTCAGACCTTGAAGATGCCATGGTCATCCACTGCATCTTGGTCCATCACCAGTCATCTTAACCTTTGTCCTGCCACTGGACTTCATTGATTGTAGAGGAAAGAGTGAAGCTGACTATTTTGCGTAACTGCCTCACTTAAATCCAATTTTTCTGCTGCTATCATATGATTAGGGATTTTATTGTATAGTCAAGGTTCTATTTTGTGTTTGTTCCTGTTTTCACGTGTGCAGTTTAAATTTTTACCCTTTGTGTAACTTTTGTGTATTTTTATTATTAAAATTTAAAGATGGAAAGAAAAATCAAGAGTAATGAAAAGAAAGGGTATACCTGTTGTCAGGGGAAACAATGAGATTGAAGATATGGATAGAATGGAATGAACATGTGTTTGTTGCATCATCTAGTATAGAGTGGAGGGAAAAATGGAAAATAAAGTTGGGTAGGTACAACAAGACCAATCCTTGAAAATCAATCAGAGAATCATTTTAGCTTTTTGAGCTAGAGAATGACAGTAGGACTATAAATTTAGAAGTAGAAGATAAATCTAGCAGTAGTAAAAAAAAACAAGGGGGTGGGGTGGGGAAGAAGTAAGGAAAAGCCTAAGGTCAAAGAATTGTAATAATCCTAGCCTGAGGTAAAGATATAGATAATCTTGATGCCATTTAGACTGAGAAAAAGGGAAAATGTGACAAAGGCCAGCTGAAACAGTACTTGTTCATGACTGGATACAGATTTTGAAAGAGAAAAGGAGGAATCATTTTTGAGTTTAGCTTTTGAATCTGGCTTTGGGAGAAAGTGATAGACACAGAGAAATTGGGAGCCTAAATTATGAAGAAAGATAGAAAGTAGATGTCATTGACAGAAACAGAAGGTGGTTGCTTACATTTTTGAGAAAAGAAGCCATGTATTCATTTTCTTGAATGCTGAATTTGATTGAAATCATACCAGGAACTCCACAAGAGATTGCCTTGTAGGCAATGGTAGATAAATGGCTAAACCTTATAGGTCTTGGATAAAACTGAAGAGCTATTGATTTTGGTGGTCACGGATGGTAGTAGTACAAGCTTTGAGAATGAAGGAGTTTTTTGAAGGAGAGTATTTTTTAATAGTATTCTTTCCAGTGATATGAAAAGACAATTTTTAACATTTCATTTAAAAAAAATTTAAGTTCTAAATTTTCTCTCCCTAATTTTACTCTCGCTAAAAAGGTAAGAATTTTAAATAGGTTATATCTGTGCAATCACGTAAAACATAATTTCATATTAGATATGTTGTGAAGAGGAAACAGACCAAAAGGAAAAAACCCAGAAAAAAATAAAGTGAAAATAATAGGTTTTGATCTCCATTCAGACTTCAACAGTTCTTTTTCTGGATGTGGATAGTATTTTCTGTCATGAGTACTTAGGAATTGTCTTGGATCATCATATTTCTGAGAAGAGTTAAGTTATTCATAGTTGATCATTGCACAATGTTGCTGTTACTGTGTATAGTGTTCTGGTTCTACTCACTTTACTTTGCATTAGTTCATGTAAGTCGAAAGGAGAATGTTTAAGAACGTGAGAAATAACTCATTCGGACTCATGAGGGATGAAGTAAAAAGCCCAGTTTATTACACAGTTGCAACCGAAGGTGTACTATGGACACATTGTGTCAAAGCAGGAGTTTTACTATTTCTCTCTAATCCCCGCCACAAAGTCCCTCCTCTGTTTCCTCATTGGCTGAGTGCTCTAGAGTGTACAACTTTCTGGTACGCCTGTTACACATCTACTCCTTGATATGTCTTTCCTCCTTCTTCATACATCCCATGTTTAGAAAATGGCTTCTTAGCCCCTCCTGGAGGTGGTGAAGCTAATATTTATTTGTTTATTTTTTTAGGCAGTTGGGGTTAAGTGACTTGCCCAGGGTCACACAGCTAGTAAGGAGAAGCTAATATAATATAAGTAGGCCTATAATAATATAGGCCTACCACGCATGCACACTCTAAGCAAAGCTTAACCTTTGTCTTACTAACTTCTAACAGCAAAACCAGGTAAGACCAGCTTTATCCTATTTTACTTAGTTACTTTTAGTGGTTTCAATGTTATGGAATCTTTTGTTCTACTTAACTAACTTCTATCAGCAAAACAAGATAAGACCAGCAGTATCCTGTTTTACTTAGTTACTTTTCTAGCTGTTTGCTCCTAATTTATGGTAACAAACATTTTTGTTATATGTCTCAGGAAGAATAATAGAAACTTTTTTTTTTGGAGGACTGAGGCTAGAGGCTGGCTACATAGTCACAATTAAGGAGGAAAAAAGAATAAGTTGAAAAACACTACTAAAATGTGCAGTGTTTTAATCACCTGAGTAATGAATTTCTGAATGGATGAATAAATCAGTGATTGAAAGGGAAAAAGTCCATTCAGCAAGATGATATGTTGTAAAATTTAGTTTCAGTGATTGAAGTGAAATGAAAACCTGCACAGATTATCTTACTGAAAGGATAATAGGAATTAATTTTTAAAATTTTTGGTAAATTTTTTTATTTTAAACTTAAATACAAAATAAGAAAAGAAAAAAGAAACAAACTCATACTAAACCTAAAATAATACAAAAGAAAAAAAAGAATTGCCATGTGCACGGCAGAACGTGAGAGGATTCAAAATATACAGCAATAAATTTCCATTTCAAGAAAACCTATGTAATAAATATTATGCATTGTGTTGAGAGCTGTCCATCTTTGCCTCCTTGTAAGTTTTCCTTTGTCTTCTGCTGTGTACTTTTTACTTTGTTCCCCACCCCCCCATCCCAAGGCTACAATTAAGTGTGGATAGAGATATACACACACATACATGTATACAAATACATACACATATATAGACATATACACACAAAGGTATACGTATTCATA